ATGGCTGAGGAGCTCAATTTATTTATAAATAATTTCCAGCGGGTGACAAAATTATATTTTGCCTGCATCTGTCTTTCTCAACTTTAAAGGTGATTGCTTTTTAATTTTTTCTCCCTTGAACAAAAAATATTTCCAGAACAAACTGTCAACTGGTTTATAGCAATGTACTTGTGTAGAGATTGCTCCTTCAACCCTGCAATGGAAATGAATGCCGTTTCCCCCCTCATATAGCCCTATTTATAAAAAGGATATTGTGCCATTCAACCTCGTTTTAGTGAGAATAAATACCTCCGGTCTATTTCTATTGCTGTCAAATTTTCTAAAATGAAATTTGAAATGATTGTGTGCTCCAAAAACAGCTTGGGAGTAGCCTGTTACAAAAACCAGTTACTTGTAATTAGTTCCTTTTCCTTTTCCTTTTCCAGTAATAAAAGGGAAACCCCTATGGTTGCAAGTTTCCAAGTAATAACTTCATTTTAACTTTTAGCATCTTTTATGGTTATTCACAAGTGGCCTCATTGAACAGTGACAGAGGAATGTTTCATGCTTCAAGCATGGAGAAATTCTGCTATCTGTAATGGGACAGTGATTAATTGGATAGGAGGAAAGTGGGTTCTAAAATACAGGCCAGGGTTCGTAGCATTCTGCTCTTTTCAAAAATTGACTGAAAGAAACTATTTAATTACTTTTTAAAATGAGGACGCTTTGCTTTTAAATTAAAATAGTGTCTGTGGCTACTCCTTAATGGACTGGAATTAAACCTCTAACTAGTTACTTTCTAAAAGTAACTTTCCCCCCTCATATAACCAATTGATTTATATAGCCCTATTTATAAAAAGGATATTGCGCCATCCAACCTTATTTTAGTGAGAATAAATACCTCTGGTCTATTTCTATTGCTGCTGTCAAATTTTCTAAAATAAAATTTGAAATGATTGTGTGCTCCAAAAACAGCTTGGAAGTAACCTGTTACAAATAACTTGTTACTTTTAATTAGTTCCTTTTCCAGTAACAAAAGTGTAACTCTTATGATTGCTTTCTAAAAGTAACTTACCAAGTGCTCATGTTAAATGCCTAAACAAATATGATGAAATCTATATGGTGTTCACAAGATCCAATGAATATTCCCTGGATCTGTTTCAGTGATAGCGTGCAGCAACTTGGAGACTATACAATTCAGGCTAAAAAAATGGAGTGGATCAGGCTGAAAGCCAGAGCAAAATTAGAGCACAGCTCTGGTAGCAAACTACATGTCTGAACATCCAAAGACCAGTCTAGCTGAGGACAGGGAGGGTGAGCCATCATCTGATTCATCAGCTACAGCAGCTTTGAACTCAAAGGTGGTGTGGAACATTTGCCATCTGTACTGGTGTTTGAATTGTGGTGCTGGAGGAGACTCTTGAGAGTCCCCTGGACTGCAAGGAGAACAAACCTATCCATTCTGAAGGAAATCAACCCTGAGTGTTCACTGGAAGGACCGATCCTGAAGCTGAGGCTCCAATATTTTGGCCATCTCATGAGAAGAGAAGACTCCCTGGAAAAGACCCTGATGTTGGGAAAGAGAGAAGGCAAGAGGAGAAGGAGACGACAGAGGATGAGATGGCTGGACAGGGTCATCGAAGCAACCAGAATGAAATTGACCCAACTCCGGGAGACAGTGGAAGACAGGAGGGCCTGGCGTGCTCTGGTCCATGGGGTCACGAAGACTCGGACAGTTTAGACTAAACAACTAAACAACAAACTGGTGGAAGAGGCATGGCCATTCGGATTAACTGGTCATTCTTCAAGACGGAATCCTAGAATCATGGAGCTGGAAGGGGCCTCTAAGGCCATCAATCCATGCCTCTGCTCAATGCAGGAGTCTAAATCCAAGCAGATCGGACAGAGGGTGGTCCCATTTTCTTTTGAATGCCTCTTGCACTGGAACACTCACCACCTCCCAAGGTCACGGGTTCTGTCATCGTACTGTTCTAACAGTTAAGAACTTTGTTTCCCATGATATTCAGCCTAACTGTCTTCCTGCTGCTTGAACCCATGATTATCAATAAAGTCCCAAAGAACTTCAAAGGTATGATCAATAAGGTCTCGATGAATGAATGTCTTGCTGTTTTTCCTTCCACCCGCTTGACTGCTGTTGGGGGCGGCCTGTCTCTCAAAGCCGGAAGTGGGAAGCAAACCCCTCCTGCCCCCACATTGTGCAAGGCCATAGTCTCTGCTGGATGACCACACACACTACCTGGAGAAAGACATCTTCCCCTGGTCTGCACCACTCCCTTCTGCTCTGAGAAGGAGGGCCCACCTGTTCAGACTGCAAGGTGACATGAAACAGTGGGAGGGGGGATGATGATGATGATGATCATCATCATCATCATCATCGTCATCTTCATCATAATTATAATTATAATTATAATAATTATAACAACAACAACAATAACAATAATAACAATAACCAGTAGGACCTCTGGTCTTTCAGGTGCAACTGACAGATTCAATTTAATCACTGGAGCTTAATGGAGCAGCATGGAAGAAGACATCAAGGCCAGGTCTTCTTCTGGTGGTGCTCCTCTGCCATTCCACTCCTTGAGCCATCTGCCTCCATTTGGCTAATGACAGGGCCGGACCTGCAACTTCAGAAGACCCGCCGTCCAAGGATCGAATCCACGCAACGGAGTGAGCTCCCGTTGCTTGTCCCAGCTCCTGCCAACCTAGCAGTTCGAAAGCATATAAATGCATGTAGATAAATGGGTACCACCTCGGTGGGAAGGTCACGGCGTTCCATGTCTAGTCACGCTGGCCACGTGACCACAGAAATGGTCTATGGACAAACGCTGGCTCTACAGCTTGGAGACAGGGATGAACACCGCACCCTAGAGTCAGACAGGACTGGACTCAATGTCAAGGGGAACCTTTACCTTTACCTAGGGCCGGACCTGACTGTTGGTGATGTTTGAAGTAGCTCCAGGCCTTCCAACTACTCGCTGGTGCCATGCGCACACCTACGTGCATGTTGCCAAAAACCTGATGTCCGTGTAAGTACAGACATGCGCTTACGTCCCTAGGAGGTTGTGTGGGATAAGCATATCTGCTTTATAAGCCCCGTGCTCCCTCTTCTCATCATCTCTGGATATCCGGGAGGGGTCGGGGCGGGTTCCAAGCAGAGCAAGCTTTCCCACATCAGTTGTCGCTTAAGTTCCTTTTAACCAGACCTGTCACTGTCTGAGTGCTGTAGGCAACTAGAATGACGCGGATGAGAAATGATTGAGTTTGGAAGGGTTGGAGTGTTGGCATTTTGGTACTGGATGACAATTGGCAAAGTCCACCTCCATCATCTGTGGAGAAACTGTTCATGACCGTAAGGAGCGCAAGTCCATTAAGGCTCGAGCTTAGCTATTCCAGATCTCGGCGGACCCCTTCCTTAGAAAATGAGACCGCTGAGCTTCCACCGCTCACTTCTCCAAGTAGACGAGGCAAGGAACAAGAGACTCTGTTTTAAAAATGATGAAGTAAGTCTCCCAAGGAAGTGCAAACACTGAATTCAGTTAATGTTCTTCCATCCCTCCTGAACTGTACTAGATTTTAAGGGGGGGATAAATGGAGTCCTTGCCTTCCACCCACACATCTAAGATTTACAAAGCGAAGGGACATATCCAGAACAATTTAGGAGTCACGTTGTAACAGATCAGTGTTTAGGAACGTTGAGCGTGTGTCTCTTGGTTAAGAACATGAGATGGGCTTTGCAGAATGAGTCCAATTAAGACAAATCAAGCCCCACATTCATTAGTCCTAGTAATTGGCAAGCACTTTAGAAATCGGCCAATAGTCTCTTCGTGGTCCACAACTTGCCCATCCCTTACACTTGGGCTGTAGCTCCCAACCACACTAGGTCCCTAGATGTTTTGCTATACCTCCCACCCTCCCTGGCAATTGGCCACAAGATGGAGGGTTTGAACCTGGGGCCTCTCCACATGGCTTTGCTGCTTCAACTTTGCCCATGCATGGCATGATCCAGCTGATGGTTCACGTCGGGCCCATATCAGATGCACTCACACCCATTCAGAGCAACTCAAGTTGGGCTCTCAGAAGTCCTCATCAGCACAACCGATGGTCAAGGCTCCTGGGAGTTCTAGTCCAAGAACATTGGGAGGCCCAAGGTTTAAGAAACGTTGCTGCAGAATCACCTGTTTGAGGCTTCTTCTGCCTTTATTAAATGTGTGCGCTACAAAGGATGCTCAGATTGATACCTATTCTTCTTACCCAAATTTGTGTTCGGTTTCAAAGCTCCAGCCACATGTGGGTCATCGGTTTTAAAAAAAAAGACACTATCTAACTATTAGTTACAGAATTGAGGGGCACGGAAATGGTCTTGACAGCAGGATGTGCCCCTTTGGTGGCATCTCGGACAGCTGCGATCAACTTATCCTGCTTCTTAAGCCATTTTCAGGTTAGGAGTTGCATCTTAAGATGAGGGCCAACTTTGTGGCTTCCTGAGTCTTTGCAATATAAAGAGTTATGGGTCTCGTTGTTCTACGAAGCACTTCTAGCATTTTGGCCCATGGGCATCTTAAAGAAGACAGCTGACGTCACTGGAGACGGTGGATTTAAGAACATGATCAGCCTGTAAAATATCATTCGGTGTGCCCAGGTTAATAAGAATAAAAATAATAAATTGGGGATTTGGTATTTCTGCATGGAGCTTAATTCTGCAGAACTCAGAGACTTAAGACAGCAGATGTCGAAAAGATCTTGGAAGCTGTTCCTGGAGCATCCTTCTCCGTAAGACCCATGCTTCCCAACCGTGGGTACCCCAGGTGTTCTCGGACTTCAAATTCCCAGAAGCCTTCACCACCACCACCACTACCCCGTGCTGGCCGGCGGTTTCTGGGAGTTGCAGTCCAAAGAACGCCGGATCACCCAACATTGGGAAGCGCTGGCCGTAGGAGAAAGAGGCAGAAGGGGGAGAAAGAGAAAGGAAAGCTGCAATGAACATATATAACCACGATACTTTGAAGCATAAACTTTATTGCAAGAAAGAATTAAAAATAGCACATTGGAGTGAGTTGGGGAGTGAGCTGGTGTGTCACCATGAAGGAGGTGTCTAGAGATCACAAACTCAAAGGAAGGGCACAATTGAAACTTGACGTTTTTATTAAAACAACTCCAAAATCAATTTTTTTTCTCTTCTAGGTTTTCCTGTTTTTCCTCCCCCCTCCCCATTTTACTTTACTGGTGTAGTATATATATTACAGTCTTCTGCCCCCCCACCCCAGCATGAAAAGACTAGGAAAGAAGGGTGAGACTTGAAGTGAGGGATGAGGAAGAGAGAAAAGGAGGAGGTTTCTAAAGCTAACAGGAGGTGAATGTCTTCCAGAAGAAGTTCTTGCACCCTGCTTTGCGTTCTCTGGGCGCCAGGGCCGGGTTCAAGCTGGCCGATCTTTCGAGCTCCAGTCTCACTTCATCTTGCTCGGCCCCGCGGGACAAATCGTCCGATTCTAAGGCCTCGTTCTCCGGCTGGCTGGGATCTGAGAGCAATTCTGCCAGGAAATATTTGGCCAATTCCTTTGGAGGAGAGAAGAAGAAAAAAGAAACTCATGCCAATGCATCTCAACAAACTGCAGAAGATACCTGCTTCACCCTTCGGAGGGGGGGGGGATGAAATGTTTTCCCTCTAGAAACACATTCCCTTCAAAGCTGCCGTGCCTCTGCAATCGGACATGTCAATGAAGCCTGCGTTTATAACCTACAGACCAAGCCCCAAACACAAATAAACTGCTTGGCAAGTGACAGGGCTCATGCTAGGATAAACAAAAGTCTTTCATCTCTTGAAGGAGCTCTACTTCTAATGACATGCCTAACTGCATCTTACAGTCTGACTCTCATTTCTTCCTGATGATCTGAGCCAAGGAAGCATAAAGCTATAAAGAGTCCTCTCTTGCTTATGTTCATTCTTCAAAACAATTGAATGAATGGTGAGAAAAGGGGGGGGGGACACTGCCAGCCTAGTACACTGCAGCTGCACTGGACTGCATATCCCATCATGCCTCGCCATCCTGGCTTTACTGGTGAGGCATGATGGGAGTTGTAGTCCAATACTCTTGGAGGGAATCAGGCTGGCCAGTGGAAAATGTGCTAATGCATACAAACATCGGAAGTCAGTATCGTCAAACTAAAGCCTCCCTGACCGATTGTTCAGCTCTGGTTGACGGGAGCCTCAAAAGTAAAGCATCAGATAGAAGTTACATAACTAGGATCTTTAAAAAAAAACTTTCCCCCCCCCAGCAATCCATTTTTTTAAAAAAAAAACATTGGGAAAGAATATAACAATCTCTTGACTCCACCAGTAGCTGCCTACCTGCCCCAATGAAAAAGCTATGGGCAAGGAAGAAAGCCAGGGTCTCTCTTTGGCCCATCGCAACTGGGATTTCAGAGGTTCACTGCTTTGAAACTGCTTGGCAACTATGCCTAATGGCCAGCTGGCCCATTCGGCTACCATCCAACTTCGAGGATAGGAGGGTGATGTCCAGGGAGCCACATCTGGGCATGAGGGTCATTCTTATTCCGTTGAGGAAGTCCTCCATCATTTCAGCCAACGCTGATTTTTCTCAAGTGATCTTCATTTTGAAACCAGATGTTTATGTCATCGTGTCCAACCTCGCCAGACATAGCTAAAGCATCAGCTTCAAGCTTTGAAGACAAACAGGGGGAAGGCCCTTAAAAGGTGGACCTTTGGCTGTGAAGCCAGAGGTTGGGAGTTCAATCCCTCCCCGGGCCTTCTTGACAGGGGCTGGACTGGATGACCCCACAGGGTCCCTTCCAGCTCTGCCGTTCTAAGGTTATTATTCAAAAACACCAGGCACGGTCAAACAAAATTATAAAAAACACTGACTGGTATTATATTACAGATACAAGTTTTAAACGCAAGGAGGGGAACTGTATCCGGTTGCTTTTTCAAGCCACTACCCTCAATGCTTCACTTGTAATAAAGGGCAGAGGGGAGTTCTTGCAGGGATATTTTAATGTTACACCCCCTCTTTTAGGGGGCGATTATGCCAGTTTGGAGACTTCAAGAGTCTCCCGGCCACTTTTCCAGTCTCTAGTTGGGAGGGTATGAATTTTGATCTGATCATAGAACAGATCTTATCTTCTTAGGTTTACTTCCCATTTCTCTTTTCACCCACAACTGGAATTTCACGAAGACAGTGAATCCGTACTGGGTTTTGCAGGGAACTCTAAGGGAGCTGTTCAAGGTGCTGACTGTGTGTTGTAATCGTACTCAGTTCAGTAGACAGCTGCCTTTGGGGTGGGGGGCATGTCATTTCTCTTCTTCTCCTTCAGCCTGTAATTCTTTGAAGCCCATCAGGGGTTCCCCCCCCAGGCCAAATCTGCCTTCACACATTCCATGATTACTCCTTTGACCAGCTTTGCCAGCTGCAGTGATCCATGTTTGGAGAACCTCCAGGTTTGACTACAGCCATGTGTGGTCCATGGGGCAGCCCATGAAGCTAGTCTGGAAGCTTCACCTGATGCAGAATTTATGTGCTGGACTTCCGGTTTGTTTGCATAAATGCAGCCACGTCACATCTTTTGATGCCCATTCACCTCTGAGCCCAGTTCAGGATAGTACCCTTAACTTGATTCACAGCTCATGAATTTTGCTTTCCTTTTAACATTCTAAGCAATTTGGAACCTTATTACCATATAGAGCACCTCCTTCCTTATTGAGATAAACAAGCAAGGGTTTTCTCTGAGTGCTTTTGGTAAGAAAAATGTAGTATTACAGCACCAATTATAGCCGCCTAGAGTGGTCGTATCGACCAGATGGGCGGGGCATAAATAGAATAAATAAATAAAATAAATAAATAAAAAGGGGGGCTTTTTATACAGTGATGGTACTGTAATTCCAGAATATGGCCCACTACAGTTCCTTAGGGTGATTTTATTGGGGGCACCGTTATATGCTTTTAGCCACCAGATTACAACATTTCAATTTGCCCAGACATTGTAAATGGTTTACTGTTGCGGCTCTCCATATCCTTTTAACCAGTCTGTTCCTCTCAGGTGGGCAATAATTCCACCCCACAATGAGCGCTGTTGGCCACTGCTCTTCCCAAAGGAAAACGGGGGCTCACATCCACACACGATTGAAAAGCCATCCCTTACCTTCGCTAAGAAATAAATCCTTAGAAATCCCATTCCCCGCTGCAGCTTTGCTTTGGGGGCTATTTCCTGCCCCTCCCCCACCCATTTCAGAAGCTCATTTAAAGAAGTCTTTTATGAAGACTTGTTTAAATAGGTACTGTTTTTTACGAAGTACCTGGAATTTTGGAAAAATCTTTAAAGGTTTATCTTTCCCCCCCTGTGTGATGGGTCTAAGGACCGTAATAAATGGACTGGCAGACTGCCCTCCATGATATTTTTTTTCTCTTGTGATATCACACAGGGACCCTTCAGGATTTTTTTGGGGGGGGGAGGACATCCAGAGGTTTAAACAAACAATTCAGAATGTTCTCCTACATTGGGAGTGCTTTCATTTTTTAAATAACAGGTCCATGTCCTGTCGCTAGAGCCTACAAACATCATCCCATTGACTGGTGATCCAACAGCTACCTAAACCCTTCTGAATCGGTGGGTCTCCTCAGCTCAGGACTAGACACAGGATCGTGGCCGAACTGCAGGGGGAAGAACCTCATAGAGATAAATTCATGAATGCTCCAGGACGGACTATAAGATGAGAAGATTGGATCGGTAGCCCAAATGGGCCACTGGTTGCCTCTGAGGACAAGCCAAGAAGGACATGAATCGCACAGAAGCATCTCCAACCCAGGGAATGTTTGCAGGCTTGGAATGATGGCATCGCCCCATCTCCATGCCCTTTTGAGCCTTTCAGCCCAAGAGAGGGTGATGTACGCTCCTGAAAACCCACAGCATTTCATGAAGGGGGCAGAGAGGATAACTCCCCCTGAAGCATTAAATCATGCCTGCATGGAATCAGCTCTTTCTAACAAAGAGCATGTGGGGGGGGGGAGGGCGAAAGGGTGCAAAGGCCATCCAGAACCTCATTTTGAGATGGGCTCGCTGACAAGGGCACCGCGCATCTCTGTGGCCCTGTTGAAAAGCTTTCTGTTTCCTCTGCTCAGAAAACACGGCGGTCCTGTTAGGCATTTTCTTCTCACTCCCACATCACTTACAAAAACGGCACCACCATCCCTCCAGTAACATCCTGGCGAGTCCAGTCCTACCTAGCTGGCTTACTCGGGCATAGGCAAACTCTAGTAGGTCTACTCCTGCATATTCTTCTTTTGGATTGTGGTCTTTAAGTGGGGTGGGCAACCAGGGAAACTATACAGTGCAAGATTTGAGTACATCCCTGTGTACTCAAACACACATCAATTTTTCCTTCCACTCATCATCAGTTCCTTCCTTCCTTTCACCCTTCCACTCATCATCAGCTCCTTCCTTCCTTCCTTCTACTCATCATCAGCTTGCTTCCTTCCTTCCTTCCGTCCACTCATCATCAGCTCCTTCCTTCCTTCCTTCCTTCCACTCATCAGCTTCTTCCTTCCTTCATTCCTTCCTTCTTTCCACTCATCAGCTTTTTCCTTCATTCCTTCCTTCCACTCATCAGTTTCTTCCTTCCTTCCTTCCACTCATCATCAGCTCCTTCCTTCCTTCCTTCCTTCCTTCCTCCCTTCCTTCCTTCCTTCCTTCCTTCCTTCCTTCCTTCCTTCCTTCCTTCCTTCCTTCCTTCCTTCCTTCCTTCCTTCCTTCCTTCCTTCCTTCCTTCCTTCCTTCCTTCCTTCCTTCCTTCCTTCCTTCCTTCCTTCCTTCCTTCCTTCCTTCCTTCCTTCCTTCCTTCCTTCCTTCCTTCCTTCCTTCCTTCCTTCCTTCCTTCCTTCCTTCCTTCCTTCCTTCCTTCCTTCCTTCCTTCCTTCCTTCCTTCCTTCCTTCCTTCCTTCCTTCCTTCCTTCCTTCCTTCCTTCCACTCATCATCAGCTCCTTCCTTCCTTCCTTCCTCCCTCCCTTGAAAACTGGGCTCACTCCATCCCCCAGCGGATGAGGAAGCCATTTTACCATGTTTCAGGGGCTACAGCTCCCCTGCTCCCCATGCAAAAGAAAAAAAATGTTTTTAAAGTATCCACAAGTGGTTGTGTTGTGTCTGGAGTTAGAAGATAAACTCAAAATCTTTTTTTATTCTTGGATAATTTGGAATATTTTCAAAGTCCGAGAGGGAGGTTTCTTCTCATATTGCTGCCATGTTTCCTCGTTTGTGTTTTAAATCGAAATGGCTGAGAAAAGACCTGTTCCCGTAAAGTGACCATACAGAGAATTTAACATTGGGTCTATCCCAGTTTATTGAGTCGCCGTATACTACCCCTGCAGAAGAAACAGTCCAGCTAGAGCAGACCCAAAGTCATCTGCCCGGCATCCTTCCTTTTCTGCTGGGTGGATACAGCCAAGGAGCCCTCAAGCAAAGAAAGTCAAACTATCCCATTGAAAAGGAAAAGGCACTCTATGTCCTTCACAGTGGTGTGGAGGAAGAAGCATCTATGGGCTTAAGTTGTCACACAAGCTGAGTCTCCTGAAATTCTCTCTACAACACCACTAAGAAAGTTGTAAAAACCCTGTCCTTCCCTTACACACACACACACACAGAGAGAGAGAGAGAGAGAGAGAGAGAGAGAGAGAGAAATGCGCCCTCCTTTGATGGGACAGCTCCCTTTGACAGACTTCATAACCTGCGCCATTAATTTCCAAATTTCATTGGGCGTGACTGCATATCAGGCTGTCTTTTGGCTTGCCATCCAACTGGCTTCCCTGCTGGTTCCTTTTCTTCCTTTACTCCGCTTTCTACTGTCACTGCTATCTTTTTGATTTAAGAAATCCCTTTTTACAAATGTTGTTTAGGGCAAGGTGCTTTGTAGGTCTGCATTTTTAAAAAATAAATAAATACTGTACCATATTTTTTAAAAAAACCCTGGAAAATATTTCTGTCTTCGAATTAAACAATGAAAGGAGGCCATATCTAGAGGTCCCAAACTCCCCATTCTCTGGGGAGCATGGGCTGCCTTAGAAGGCGGGGGACATCCCTCGGCTGGAAGCATTCAGGCAGAACATCCGGCCGGGAATGTCCTGTGTTGGCAGGGGGTGGACTAGATGACCCTTGGGTTCCCTTCCAACACGATGCTGCTGCTTCTCTAGCATTTTATGAATCTGGGTGTATATTGGGTGGATCCTGTGGACACTCTACAGGAGTGAGACCAATTCAGAGACAAGCAGAAGTCTGTCTGTGTCACTGGTTGTCAGCCCTGGAAGTTTAAGGGAACGCCCAGGCTCAGAAGAAGTCTACTGTAACCATCTAAGTCTGGCGACTTAAGGGACTGGCGGGCAGGCGGGTTCGAGGACGAAGAGTCAGGGGGGGGGGACTGTTCCTTTTGGGAACGTCACAGAAAGAGAAGCCTGGACTAGAAGGGTCTTTAGTTTAATCAATCCGCATTCTTCCAGGATAGCTAGGAAAGGAACCTCCACTTGCAGGCACAGTCTACCTCTGGCTTATCAGAGGACCTCCCGTGCCTTTGAG